TGGCCTCTGCATTGCTCCTTCCTGCCATCTTCCCTTCCATTTATCGCCAGTATGAAACGTCCTTCTGCGTTGACACGACATCAGGGGTTAATAACGAGTAGACATAATTAGTGGCGGAGTGCAGCCGGCGGAGGGGCGACTGCAATTGCAGAGGGGCGACAAACAGGAGCCGAGAGACCGCTCCTCATTTATCATCCGATTCTTGAAATCGTCTGCATTTGACACGTCCTGCCAGGGCAACAATAAATTTAAAGCCATTCCGAAGTGAGAGCAACAAATTATCCCCCGGCTCACACACACCGACACAATTAGTTAGGAACTAACTCACTTTCCGAAAACAAAACTCCGGCAAGAAAAACCGAAACACCACAAAAATAAAACTTGAAATGAAAACTATGCTCTGGTGATTTATGTTCTCCAGAAGTTGCCCGAAGAAGCGAGCGGCCAGAGCCGGAAAATCCGAAACTATGCTCTGCTATGCAAAACTTCAAAAACAACTGCCAGGCGCCGAGGAGGGGTCGAAGGCCAAGCCGCAGCAATAAAAATTGACGGCGGGGCGAGGATAAAGAATCCTGCCTGCCTACCAGAACTATGGCCGAGCAGAACACAGAAAGCCCGGGAGGAAAGCAACTAAGCCACATGTGTCGCGTCTCGATCGAAAGCGCCGTAAATTAGGTCAGCGGCAAAAAGGGCAATGTGGATTGGTGGCTGTTGTTGGGTGGCAGTGGAAAGCGGCGGAAAAGCGGGAAAACCTTCACCAGAGTGTAGCTCACCCACAGCGATACAAATCGCTGGAGCATACCAAATCATGAGGGTAAAACGTGCTCACACTTTATACGTAGGAGTCTGGGATACGTAGGGATTTCCAGCTACAGTTGGGGAAAAATTTAATATATCTGTGCCAGACTCTAATGGTTTTCTATTAAAGTGCTGGAAATACATAAAAGCATTATAGGTCTAGTAGTTAATAGTAGGTTTAATCTGTAATAGCTCTACTCACAGTAGCTCCCCTTGAAGATTCTTTCAGTGAACTGCCATTAGCCTTCCACAGATAGAAAGGGCCACTCCATTCTGTTGCAGTAAGTGTATTTATCAATTTGCAATTGCAAGTGGCGCTGCCACACAAAAGAGAAATCACTGGAAATTACATTTTATTGCCATGCGGCTTTTTATCGAGCTCCAATCGAACTCTCTATAGATAGTCAGGTGCCTAGACCTGCACTAAATAACTTAGCCTCCCCTGCTTTTGCGCTGAAACCTGCTTTCCTCGGTGGCTGCCTTTCTGGGTTGGAAACTTTGGAAAAGTTTCCGTAGCTGCCTGCTGGTGTGCGTGTCGTACACACACACTCCCCCACACGCCCGGAGAAAGCCACGAATATTTTTTGCCATTGCAGGCAGTTTAAAGTTAAGCCAAGTCGTTGAAAAGTTGGCTTTGCGGCTACCGCAGCCCGAAGGCTTCAAAGTAAATGTGCTGCGAAAGTCAATCAAGCGTTGCAACAGCGACTTTCTATCCACCGGCCCGGTTGCTCCGCTTTCCTGCCACTTTCCCGCAACTTGGCCAGTAACAGCATTTACATCTTGATTGCAATTGATAGGTGGTTCGGAGGGCTTCCAAAGTTGAGTGCATCCGTAGAAAGTTAAGGGTGCCTGGCTCCCCATTAAATATTAATCATGCCGGAAGTGGACGATAAGCTTCTGGTGAAATGGAATGCATTGAAGTAATTAACAACGATTTTAATGCAGTTTTTCACACAGCAAATGCCAGAAAGTAAAAAATCACCTTTTTATGAATATTATGATGGAAACACCAATTTAATCGCCTAGTTTTTGTTTGCTTTGCTTTACTTTTTATTATGTTTCTGCGCATTTTAATTATTTTTCCAATTTCACTTTTGAGTGAGAAAATAATTGCCTCCTCTTCGGAGCCGTGGTTTGGATCCCCTGGGAATAAGTCCAAAACTCCCTCGTCCTTATTCCTGCCACCGTAAAATTATACAAATTAATTTGGGAGCGACAATTGCGTCGAGTCTAATTTAAGTGAGAAGGGGGCCGCGGAAAAAAGGAAAGTGGGAAAACGAAGACAAGGCCCTCCGCGGGCGGGAGGATCTATTCCGGGGGCGATTTCCTGTTTAGACCGGGGGCTGTGGACAGGGCATCGCATTAATTATGCTCAAGTGTCCGCTGGGATGCGGCCAACACTTGCTCCATAATGACTTCTGTACCGACTTGCCGCCGAAGAGAAAGGATTTGTTTAAAATTCAGATTTGATTTCGGATCCGAAAGCTTTAAGGCCGAGAGTGAAAAATTTATGAACGGATTTGAGCGTCAACAGTCGGGCACCGACAGGGAAATATATCAAGGATTATGTCAGCTTCATCACCCGACTCAAGTTAGACGTCAGACGGAGAGAGGATGTCAGGAGGAGATGGATAAATAGGAAAGCCATAGAACAGACAATGAAGAAACTATAAACCCTGGGAACGAATGTAAATAAAACAGGGAGTCGCACTAAAACCAAATTTACAAGAAAACCAGAGACGGAAAGCGAAAAGAAAACTGAAATTGGTGAGCGTAAAAACGAAATTGAGAAACAGGCTCCAGGTCCTGCTATGTGGGTCCTTTCTCTCTGCCTCTGTATCTGTATATGTATCTGGGGAAAGCAAATTTTAAACCTTATCAGAGCCAGTTGGGGAAAATGGAAAGTGGATAAACTGGGTGAAGGCAAACATGCAAATAAATCTGTGGCACTCAGAAGTTCCTCGTCTCGATTTGATTGAAGGAAAGTGGGGCTCTCAGCTGGGAGACGCCTGCTGCCTTAATTTCCCGATGGCTCAAAAATAAAACTTGAATTGCTGCCAGAAACTTCGAGGGAGAAATGGGAATTAGATACCTTGTTTGGAGGTCAGGGTTTAATTCATAATAGTTTATTGATCAATATCGTGAAAGTATGGAGCTCAGGTGGCAGGTCGGATAGTGATTTATTTTCCATATCCTTAAAGAAGAACCATCTCTTTCCATAATGCAGTCATTTCATTACCCATTCTCTCATATTTCCTTTGATTTCCCGGCATTATTCAGCCGTGACTGTTTGCTTTTATCTTTATCTTCCGCTCACTCCCCAGCTCCCCAGGCCCACTTTTGTATTTATTTGTTCTCAATTACTCTCACATCTTGGGGCCGCCAACATTTTTAAAGCTTAACAGCATTTTTCCACCCACTTGGCTGCCAGAAATAATACAAATTCGTACAAACATATATACGGAATGAGGAAGAAAAAGTGAAATTGTTCAGAGCTCTTATTTCCATTCCTGTGGCTGTTTCGCTTAGCCCATTTCTGAGCCATTTGTTATTGTTGTTTTACGCTCTCGCATTGCCGCAATTTTAGATATTTCTTTTTCTCGGACAAGCCAACAAAAAAGCAAAAACAGAAGCTGAAGCAGAAATTGTGGCCAGGAAAAAGTTAAAGTTTATTTATTTTCCTGTGGGTGTAGCTGGGGGAGTGAGAGCAGAGGGAAATAGGGAAAGCCACCTGCACTTTTTCTTTCACGTGCCAACGACCACGAGCCACTTCCACTTCCACTCCTGGACCGGCCTGCTCGGGCCTGGTCTGGCCTGGACTTTCATTACATGGCCAGAAAACGCAGAAAAGTTTTCAGCGCGTTTTTTATTTTGCGTTTTGGGTTGCTGGTTTTGTTTTGGCCTGCGGCTCTGGCTGCAGGTATTTACATTTAAATGCGGCCTGTGGTTCGCCATTGCGCCTATTGTTATGCAATGAAAGTTTGTCCGCGCATTGTTCGCAAGGACCAGAAACTCCCTTAACCTCAATCCTCAATCGCAGGACTCGCTGTTGTTTCGGGCCTCCAATAACCGGTCCAGACAATTTTCATAAATTTTCCCGAGCCTATCTCGTCCCTTCTGCTGCGACCTTCAACGTCAACGTTTTTATTATGTTATTGACTACTAACCACATTTTCACACCAAATAAAAGTGTCCTTGACAGAAAGGACACACGCAAGGAGTCTGGCAAATACATAGAAAACCGGAGAAGGCAGAAAAACGTTTAGAAATTTCAGTGAGCCATAATTTGTTGTCGTTCTACTTTAGTTCTGTGGCCTATCCAGATTTCCGATATATGACGGACACAAAAAGCTGACTATATAAGATATATGTACATATAGTATATGCTATACATTATGTAAAGGTTCTGGACCAGGCATAAATACAAAATTTTATACATATTTTTTGTTTGGTGCCGCCACTGTCTGTTGACGCACAAAAAGTGTTTGCCTTGCCACGCCGGGCCACGCCCATTCGACCACTCGCCCACAGCTCGGCTCCTTTCGGAATTCTTTTTTTCGTTTTGTTGGGGGGAGCTCGCAAAGTGAAATTTATTAGAAACGCAAAATCTGTTTGCAGATTGTGTATAAGATTTGATTATTTATGGTCAGTTGTTTGTTGTGGCCAGCAAGCCAGAAGCCAACACTGAAAATTGGCTAACAAAACAAGCGAAAAACGGGCAAGAGTATTGGAAAAGATAGCGCAGAGTCCAAGAGTTGATTTATGTAAATTTTTGCTTCTCCCCCAAAAGTTGGGCGGAAATATTTTAGTTTTATTCAATAAAAATATTTCCGCTCTTTGGAGTTTCAAAAAATCATTTTGGGGCGACAATAAAAAGCTCTATAAAATAACTATTAGTTAGGTAAGCCCCCAAAGAAATCTCCATCGGGCATTCTTATCCAGCGCCTGGCAGGCACAACTTTTGCATCCACTAAATTAAACTAGGAAAAATTCCCCCCGGTTCATGGCCCACAAAAACTCTTCAACACAAATTCAACTAATTAACTTAAGGCTCCTCGAAGAAGAAACCAAAGCACAGCCAGACCAGGCCAGGGCACAGACTCAGACTCAGACCCAGACCCCCATCAGCGCCAGGCAAAGCAAATAATTTTCAACAAATTTAACTAACGCCGAAAAAACTTTCCCCTGTTGTTCCTTTCCAGAATTAACCCGCCTGGCCGAAGAGAAGAGGAGACTCTGAGAAGCGGCAAGTGGAGCGTGAGGCCAAACTAAACAGGAGGTAAGTTGGACAAACAACTCGAATCGCAATTAACGCTCTAGGGAGAGAGTCCTGGCCGGCCAGGAAGAGGCGCCCCCGAAGAAAAAACAAATTTCATTCCACTTGGGAATTTTTTTCCCAACTACATTCGGTATTTTATTTCTGGCCAGTATTTGCATAAAGACTCAAAGCACTTGCGGCTGGGCATGCGAGGGAATAACTATTTTACGGGGATATTCCCGACCCGGCCCGAGTCGGGGTTACCTTAATGAAATACGCGTAACCAAATTTGCGTTTTCCATGAATAATGCATGATCCAGGTGGTCACCACTGCAACTGTTGCTCCAACGCATATACTAGCGGTGTGTGTTGTTGTTTTTTTCCTGGCCCAATGACAAACTGTCAATAGGTTTATTTTCGCAGCGCGAGGGCCGCCGGGAAAACTTTAACCCAACTGCCATTAAGGGGTTAAATAGGAACTGCTTTCGTCCTTTTCGGGTCGCTTTGTACTGCGCTGTTATACTTTTCGGCGGAAACTTTTCGCTGAGTTTTCGTTTTTATTTCGTGCGTCCGCAAATATTGACCGAATTAACAAAAGCTGCTGCAAAAAGTTTCACCGCAAACAATGGCGAGAGGGTCGCCCACTCCTTCACGCCCTCTGGAGCCGTCTCTTTCGCTTATCCTGTAGGAGGTCCTTGCTCGGACCTGTCCGGGAAAGTGTCAACATGTCCTGCTCCGCTCGGGAGGAAACTTATGACTGACACCAAGCACATTCTCCACCGCCCCGTGTCAGGTAAATAATAGGGCGAATAAAAACTAATCGCGATTTGGGAAGGGACTTGCATTAAAGCTTAAAGACAGGCATGTAAAAGCTATTTTTAAGATAGAGTGTGCGTATGAGAGCCCTTTCAATAAATATATTTTCAGCTACGTTATTGGGCTTTCGAATTTTAGTTTATTGAATTGCATTCCAAAGTATTTTTCAAATTTCCATCTCAAATAAAATAGTTTCCATTTAGGCCGGCATCTATGCTCAGATCATGTTGTAGCGAATCCAAAATATTTCAAACTACATAAAGTAAACCGAAATGGAATTCATCCAAAGGGCAGGGGCGAGGGGCTTGCTAAAAAATGCGGCCATGTATAGCATTGGAGTTTGGATATGCGGCGCACGTTCGGCCACGGGGGTACGTGTTTGGTCCTGGGAATCGAGGAGCTGCACCACAGATAGCCACCCCCCGGGCAGTTGGAGTCCAGTTAGTTAGAAAACTGGGGGCGGCCGGGGGCTCTGAGGTTTGTCGGGTGAAATGCTAAAAGCAAAAAGTCATGCAACTAAATCCTGTCGAAAACGTTTTAAACTCCCAAAGAAAGGGAATAAAAAGGATTTGTGCTAAAAAGCAGCGGAAAATGTGAAAGTCAGCAGGGGTTATGGTCGGGGCTTATGTTCAGAGGCGGGGATAGTGGAGCACTAATGCAAGTGGATGACTTAAAAAATCCAAAATATGTGGCTGGGCAATAACGAACTTAAATGAGCCACGAAGGATTTTCCCGCACAATCGGGCAACAGTTTTAGCCTCAAAGTGTTCACATTTTAAGGTCCTTTCCGCTTCAAAGACAATTCTACTATAATTAATATTAATGAACCTGCAAAGAGCCAATTTTAATTGAATCGGTTTTAAAGACAGTCCAGTAAAAATTAAGATTAATTAGTTTGTTAGCAGCATGTATGATAATTGCTGGTGGGATCTTCCACAATTTGTTTATTATAATTTGCAGTTTAATTTTCCCATATCCTCGGTATTTATTCAGCCGTCAGCTGTAAGCCGGGTAGAGCAGAAAGTATCGGGGATTTCGCATTACAAATCCTCTAAGTGAAGTCTGTTGGCAAATAGGAACTTATACTGCGTTGAGTCAGCACTAAGTGCGGACGAGCATGCAACATTTGTGCCATGCAACGTTGCAGGCTAAGCCCCCCGCCTTCTTCTCTCCCGCAGATTTTCCCATTTTCCAATCTCCTCGCCCCGCCTCTGAACTCCGGAGTTGTCAATGACTGTCAGCGGCAGACAAGCAGAAAAGCGAAGCACGACATTGCAGCTGGGCTTTCGAAAGGGGCGTCAGGGGGCGGGCCAGGCGCCCCAATCCCCACTCCGCACTCGACACTGAACTGGTGACATTTCAATTTTCACACACGCTATGCGGTTTCCCGAGAACGGCAAAAACCCAGCAGGAAAAGCCAGGGAGAGGGCCGGAAAAGCAAAGGAAAAACCCGAAAAGAAATCAAAGCGAACGCCTTAAGTGGAAGACCAAGCCCAAGCCAGGGGGCGTTGCAGGCAGAGGCGTGGTCTCCATTGACCACAAGCCTCAAAGTGCAAATTAAAATTCAATAAAGCACAAAGTAGCAAACAGAGGAGGGCTCTGCAGCCGGGAAAATGAAATTACGATGGTCTTTAGAACCAGGGGAATTAATTAGAAACCGATGTGCCAGCCAGTCGGGGCACCACTTTATTTTAAATTATATCTAATTGCCAAAAGTGAAACTTAAACTTAAAAATTTAAGTACTTTCTATTTCCCCCTCCTAAAATTGCCAACTAATTAGCCGCAGGAATCGCGCGGTTACTGAAACAGCAGAGGGGCGGTCTCTCGATTAGATTCGAAGGGGTATGCGTATGTCTGGGCAGTAATTTCGGGTCAGTTCAAGGTCCTCTGACAAGGTCAGGCCTTAACCAATGAGTTCCTCCCCCTTGGGGCACACTCATACCCCATGAATGTGTTCTTTGTGCTGAAAATTGCATGCAAATTTCATTGCTGGCGGCTTTTTTGAGCGAGCCTCTTGCAACAACAAAGGCTGCGTCGCCTGCCACGGCTGCCCCTCGTTGACATTGTAAATAAATGGGTGTGACTGAAAACTGTGTCAACCCGAAAGTGCAACAAAAATGAAAACACTTTTGCTACAGAACTGTGTGGAAAAAAACGCAACAATGGCAACAGGAAGTGTGCAAAAATTTGTTTAAATTTTAATAGGGCTTTCATTTGTGCACCGAAGTGCATGGATGTATTTGTTATTTGCTGAAGAGCTATTAAATTTAATAATTAAATAAAAAACCAAACAAGCCGTGCTCTATGGCTTAGAACGGAGTTTATGAACCGTGAACCATTTCTGTACCTTCCTCACATATTATACAACGCTCAAATAAATCTAATAAAAGCGCGGCAAACATATTCATATATCAGGGTGGCACATAATATTTATGCGACCAACAAAAGGGAAAAAGTGTAAAAAATTGAAGAAATAGAGGAAAACCAGACGGAAAAGGGCTAGCAGGGAGAACGTGATGCGAGTGGCGCATAAAAATTCCACAAGTGCATAAATTTCAAGCGGATTCTTCGGGGTTATGATGCTCTTAACCGGCAAAAACAGCTCGCGGCAAATTTAATATGCCCGTTGCACTAGGCAATGAAACAGCTTGTGCAACTGCAGCGGTGCAACACGTGCATGTGTGCCACACCTGCCGAGATTTTTGGACATGCCTGCATCGTCTCCATTTCCCTGGCAAGGAGCTTCCCCAAACCAAATTATGGCCACAATTCTTGAGCTCTTTGCCTGCTTACTTCCACTATTTTTATGCTTCTTAGCTCTTTTTACCCTTTTTGCATTCGCAAGTCGAGATTTTCAGTTACACTGAGAGAAATCTGACAAGACCAAGGAGGTCTTTAGTCGTATGGTTTTTGGTAAATGAAATGAATTCGTTTTTCTACGTGAAGAACGGGTAAAAATAAAGTGGTCTGAGGGACGAGCCAGTGCCGCATAAAAAACCAGAAAGTGTCACCAGGACGACGACAAAGCTTCAGCTCCAGCTTCTGTTGCTCCTTGGGCAGAACTTTCCTTCAGCTTGAGCAAATAAGATTTTTTGCAGCTCTGCAGGTGTGCCTCAAGGTGGTTTTCGGGGTGAACGGGCGCAGGACCTGGGGCGCAAGAGGGGGCACGGCTCTTGCTATTAGCCTGGTTCGCATGCCAACTGAAGTGGCAATAAGTGCCATGCATATTGTCGCCAGCATCTGCCGCTGGAACGAAAGAGGGTTAAGGGATTGGCCGTGCAAGTTGGCTGGGAAACCAGCGTGGCTTATTAGAATCTCTGTTTTGGGGGAAAGCGACTTTAAAAGTTAAAGAAGGCTTGAAAGATTAACAAATTGCAATTCAATAGATCGACTCTGGATAAAAAAAGCAAACAAATTGTAAACATTTTTCATGACATTTTCGGTTTTATTACGACGTTTTCTGATAAGCACTCAGCTTGACTATTATTTTCCATTTCATTCAATCCGAAATTAGGAAATCTTTCATCAAACACAATACAAACTTCCCGACCAATACTGGCTGCCGGCACCGCAAAAGTTTCGGGGCACCGCAGTCGCAGCGGCTACACAAACATTTATTTGAACTTTATATATCAAGCATGACTTTTAAACTTTTATTTTCGCTTTTTTCCCCTCTGTTTCGGAAAATTTCTAATGGATTTTGCCGTGGTTTAGGTTGTGGGTTCTGGGCTCTGGGCTTTGGGGTTGCTGGGTGATTGGCTGGTCCTTCGACTTGGGCGGCGTGTGTGCACTTGACTTGAAGTGGTTTATCCATGTCAACACGGCTGCCTTGTCAATGTCGGTGGGTCAGTGGTCTCTGCGGAGCGCTGGATCGGTGGCTCGTCGCATGCAAATTCGAGCCGCGTTCAAAGGTCAACAATGGCCACCAACAAAGGAAAAAAGGTCAAGCAATTAGTGTCACAGCAGCCTGTCCAACTGCCAGACATTTGTTGATGCTCGTTCAACAAAAGCGAAAAGGGGCTCTCCTGCCCGGCTCCCAGCCCTGCCTCTGCCCCTGCCCCTGCCCCTGGTGTTGGCTGATAAGATAACAGATAAGGGTATTATTACGCTGGCATTGCGTTTGACTTTGATTTGTGTGCCTAGCTGGCCGGGTCATGTGTGTGTGTTCGTCTGTCTGAACTCTGGCCCATGACACTCTGGGCAGGGCAGCGCCCAGCTGG